TATATATATATTATAATGAGGCAACTAGATCATATATCTCATTGTTGCCCTCAGAATTCTGGGTACTTTATAAGTTAAGTTTGTGCAATTGTGCCTGCATCCAGGTATTACGCCAATTATTACTACCCTTAATATTATACATATTTATTATCAGCTAGTAATTTGTAATTTTTCGTAATCACAATATTGTATTTACATTATGTCACTATATCTGGCTATATTCTATTTACTTAAATTTCTCTATTACAAATTGATTTCGAATTAGTAATTAGGTACCTATTACTGTATAACGTTTTCATGCTCCTAAATCTTAGGACTTTCATAGTCTAATCATATTCTGGTAGAGGTATTTATGACCGAGCTGAACTGCAGCTCCGGAAGTTTTAAGAAAATCTAATAATTATTTTCTATGATCATTGATTTTAAATTTGTATCGTTATTTTGTTAGCTTATCTTATCGCTCATGGACAAAACGAGAGAACGAATACTGTGAATTGGGATACTAATAATTATTATTTAATATATATATATATATATATATATATATATAGGTACAGTATACTGTATCTAGGGTAATGGTGGGGAGGGGTCACACTGATAAATGAAATCACGGTTAATCGAAACTTTATTTTTTATATTTAAGGAATAATAGTAATGTACAAGGTCATTTTATAAGCATATAGTGCATAGTGTGATCAATGTCATGTTATATATTTAGAGCTAAAAATATGAAGAATAATCAGTCTTGTTTTTAAGGTTTGAAATAATTTTCCTAATACAAAATGTTCGTGTGACCCCAATATAACTAAAATATAGTGCACACATTGTTCATTTAATTATCATTATTTTCTATGTATCTAACTAATGGGTGGCTTCTGAATCCAAAAATGAAATAAACATGTAAGTCTTTCTTTTTTCTTTTCATTGTCACATCTAGTGTTTGCGCTAAGAACATTTTAGAACTGCACACGTAGGTACCTGAACTTAGCTTGTATACACATTTTATTATTATCATTATTATGGATCAATCCACATTGGTTTATGGTTGTATCATAATATCATGATAATGTAATATTTGATTATTATGAATTAAATACAAATTGTTTTAGTATAGTATTATATAGTAGGTATATTAGTTATTTTTTTACAATGCTAAAATAAGTAGTAGTAGGTACTGCACATTTTATTTTAGAATTGCACAATTTGTGTAGTACTGCACATTAACACAAGCTCTGATCACATCTACCTACTAATTCTTAATTGTGCTAGCAAGTGCAGACTGTGCATAGCTTACTTAAAAAATTTAATATTATTTATCGTTCTTAACCTATAAACAATGTACCGCTTATGTGCCTATGTATTTACTCTGCATATCTAAAAATTCTCAAAAGAAAGAGCACAATTAATTATAAACACGGATAATCGAGGTTATACTGCATACAATATAATAATACTCATTAGGTACTTACCTATAATATGAAAATTTTATTGGATTTTTCATTATTTTTATTTTTTACATAATTTCTTTTAATAATTTGTTTTTTTCTAAATAATAGTAGGTATCTATTAGGTGAATGGTGAAATTTAAAAAATACCTATGTCAATTTTTACTTGACACAATAACTTTTGTATAATTTTTATAAGTACCTATCTAATAAGTGATGTTAAAAAAAACGAAAAATGATAATTTTTAAGACTTAAATGCTAATAATACTATTTTTATAGTATTAATCATATTATAAATAAATAAAATTAAGCACTTACCTTGATAATAATAATAGTTGGACATTTGGAAGATCAAATTTCTGATTTTCTACATGTTTGAAATATAATAAGTTATTTTTACATGTATTTAAGGGTATACCTGTGTCCTGTATAATAGCTATTCTCAAACTTCTATACGGTTTCTCTATAGGTACACATCGTAATCGTACATACAATATAATTTGAGATACACATTAGGTATAAATTTAATACTTACATTTACTTATACATACTTATGTAAGTGATAATATAAAGATTAATAATAACGTGCATTTTTGTAGAAACATTTATGTTTTTAAAATAACTTAACATAAAATATATCAATCCAAGTCTGTACATAAAAATTTAAACCCCAAAATGAGGAAGAGCTCTATGCTCTCTCTTATCACTAACCTAGGGACGCATTAGAAATCTCTATAAGTTTTTAAAAGTAATACAGGAAAACTGCAGAGAACAAATCAATCAGATGAAAAAAGGTTTTCAGTGTTTTCATTCGTAAGAAGTGTGCACCATTTGATACCGACTTGGCGTAATACCGCATCAGCATTAAGAATCCAATTTTTAAAAAAAGACATTACCCTACATGACACATTTCATTCGCAATTAAATATCCTATAACTGATGTAGACCTTGATCAACTTTATCGTAGGGTCTAGATTCAGATAGTTAAGACACCTTCTCTTTGAGAGAAGAAAAGTTGAATTTCACTGTCAATCTTTTTAAAACAAAAGTATTTTTAACATTTAAATCAAATTTAAACTTTTATATCATAATTTTCTTGTATACATAATATTTTACTTGTTGTGCTAACGTGTATATTAACTTATTATAATAATAAAAATAAATAAATAAATAAAAAAGAACATTACAAAAAAATTGTATCCACACATTTTCAAATGCCCAAAAATATTCGTAGGCGACGTAGGCCCTATAGGCACAGTGCCTTTTGTACTTAATGGCTAATACGGCCCTGATGCTAACGTCTGATCTTATAAAACCTAATAAACCATGAATTGCCAAAGTAATTAGTCAAATATATGGTTTAATAAAAACATACCAGTCTATAGAATGTGTGTCGAAAAAACTTCAAAAATTTCGAGATATAAAAAACAAAAATCATCTATTTGGCATCCTCTAAGCAACGCGTTTGGCAACTACTTGCCATTCTTTTATAGTTATTATAATATTGTAATCGTCATGTTAAAGTTTTTGGCAAAAGTTTGTCACCACCGATACGTCACACAAGAAACGATGTCAGTGCGTCGCCGAAAACTCGATGGAGTTCAAGTTCAATTGTTTGCCAACAAGGGTTTTCTCCGCTCTTGTCTACACGTCGCGCGGCATCAATGAATACAATTTTTTTTTCAATATACAAAATCAAATAGGAATTTCGGTATTTCCGAGTTATATTTTCCAAACAATGTTCCACAACCGCTTCAGTTATATGAATGAACGAGGGATACACTTTATCCACAGTAATGGAAATAAAACGCTGCCCACCGCAATGCACAGGCTGGCGGAGAATTATTACGTCACCGTATTAATATCATTGACGTGTTACGCAATAATAGTGTTCAAGAATCGATCGGGTGTATTTTTATGTAACGTTTATATTTTTAGTCTAACAATCAGAACAATTTTTAACTCGATGTAGGTTACTCGTATTCAACGTCAACCGTAAAATTTATTACGTGATATGAAAAAAGTGGTTGGCAGGAGGCAGGAAAAGAGTGATTAGTGATCAAAAAAGATAACTGCTACACAAGTTAGGACATACATAATATCTAGTAATATTAACTAACTGTGTATTACCTATAAAAATAAATAGTAAATATGAAAAGTGTATGCAAGGAAAACTTTGAATAATCAATTTAAAAAATCCAAAATCCATTCATGTATTTCTATGTATATATATATATATATATATATATTTGTTTATATTTTGGAAACAAATTGCTACACGTTCGCAAAAAATACGTAAAATTCAAAAAAAAAATCCAATGCACAATAATAGTTGGGGGGGAAATGTATGCGCATCGATAATTTATTATAATAAGTTATTATATTGTACAAGTATAATCAAAATTGAATTAGCTAATATTTATTATATAATCATAATTGGTATGCTTTATGGTAAGTTAGTAAACTCATTTCACTTTCAAAGTTTGATTATAGACAAGATCATCTACTCCATTTTTGGAACTAACCATAAGTATAAAGTTTATATTATTTTGTGATTGAAAGCACTTTTATAATATATTTTGTACACAATGGAATAAACAAAATAGTATCAAAGTATAAAATGAGTTAGATTGTATATCGATATCAACTTGATTTGAATATTATTTTTTAGAAGACATCGGTTATGAGAAATGCATTATTTAACGGTGTATGGTTTTATTTTATTACAAAAAAAAAAAAATAAAAAAAAAATGATTATTCTTATTGTTACACTAAGTTACTTTAATAGTGTATTACTAAACGCCCTATTGTTTAGGATGTAAAGCAAAAGTTGAAGAAATTTTGGAAAAAGCAAATTAAATTTATTTACGTTCAACAATTTGATTAAATCTTATTTTAAACACGCTAATTATTTTGCACTATACTAAATGAAAGGTTATCAGATCTTTTATCGCAACAGCAATACATAATTTTCAAATGTTAGTGTTCATGGGTTTCTCTAAGTGTTTTTGGTGATTATTATATTTGTGCTATGCATAAAAATGGTTATTAGTTTAAGTTTAGTATAACCAAGATATGGGGATGTGTTCATTGGATGCAACAAGTAGACTTATGTCCATTCTTTATCTTCAGTTTAGATTTCGGACGGTACTTTTCTAGAAATGCCAGTTGTTTAGAATTTATAGCTCCTCTTCGTTTCCTAAAGAAATATTTTATCTTAGAAATCATCACATTAACAAATATTATAAATTATGTATAGTACATACTCTCTGATTAATTGAACAGCATCTTCGTACTTCAGCCCAAGTTCTATCAATGCCAGGGCAACTAAGACAGGGGCACGACCCAAACCAGCCACACAATGTACAGCAACACAGCTCCCCTCGTCTGTACGAAACTGATTTCGTAATAATTCAAACCATTCTTCTATCAACTAACAAAAACAAAATACAATAGAATGAAAAATGTACCACTTTTGATGTGCAAAATAATACTTAATTAATTTACCTCATTTGCCGGGGATGTACCATCATCATATGCCAAGTCGGTCACCACAATACCTTCTGCTTTCAATTCATCTGTTTTGTATGTTGGTTCGCAAACACGTACAACATGTTTAACATTATGCCTCTTTAATTCCTAAAGAAACAAATATAAAAATTTTATGATTTATTTTCAATTAACTAAAATTTAAATTTAAAATATTTTAATTACTTACAGCTATATAGTTATGAATTATCTGATCATTAGGTCTATCGGTGATTAGAAATCTCATGCCTTTATAATCTATCTCGCAGGGTGGTGGTCTTATGTCTTTTTGACGCATTATAGTTTCGTTGCTCATTGAGCTTATTTATAATATATAACAGGAAAATTAAATTATATAAGGATGAATTACTGTTTAGATGATGTCTATGTCCAAACTGAAAACTGAAGACAAAAAACAGTCAAGTCTTTAGTCCATTAATTAACAGCGGTATTTTTGTTCTTACGACCAACAAATTATACTAAATTATCGAGGAAAACGATTCAACAATAAGGATAGATTAGGATCAATGCGTGTTCAACGAGCAAGCATAATATTCAAATAAAATAATTTAGTATGCATTCACATCCAATTTATTGTGTTGTGCCTGGCAATATTCACTGCTGTCTAACGACAAATCCATGAAACCAAAGGCTGCTACAGATTTAACAACCTGAAACAAAATGTATTTTAGATAAGAATGATAAATCATTATTTTTATGTTAACAATTGCTTATCTTAAGCTATTATTGACAAATATTATGACTAGATTATAATTATTTTTCATAAGAATTCGTTGGGTAAACATTTTTTTTTTTAAATAAACTATTTACAAATTAAATTGTGTAGATACCTACAATTACATTATTATTTTACTATGTGGAGATATTTTTATACTTGATATGGTTAGTAACAATTAACTAAATGCATTGAGCATGACTCCATTGGACCAACACCATTTCATTAAGTGGATCAAAACTATTAAATTCAATATTTAACTATCCTATCCGCTCGAATGTTCTTTCACTAAGTACCTAGTTAAAACTACAAGCCTTTTTTTTATTAACCCTATGCACTGACTCTAAATAAATTATATTACAAAAAATTATACTTGGATAAATTAAACAGTCATAAGATTCATTATGTATTGCATAATAAACAAGTTGTAAAAATATAATAATTAAAGCAACCAAAAAATATATTATCTTGTTTATTCATAAGTCATAACTAATATTATTTTAATAGTATATCACTTTGCACATCAAATATAAACATTACAATTTATGATGTTTTAATAATTTATGATTTCATGCCTACATTGTATGTGAAAATTGTATACAGTGAGTTTAAATAATCTTATTAATCCATCACAATACAAATGGTAAGAAAAACGTATTAAAATTTTATAGTTTAATTCAATAGAAATAAAATAATTACTATATAAATTATTAGATACTAGTGAATAGTATGAATAGTATTGTTTTTAAATAAATAATTGAGTATTAATCTGTAATTTGTTATTTATGGATTTTAATAATATTCTCATGTGAATATTTAATCACAAAAATAGCAAATATACATAGAATTAATATTTTATCATATAAATTGTTAAATAATCTAAAAAAATGTACTATCAATTTATCATTAATTAACTCACAGCTCAATGGAATAAAAATAAACAAAAATCTGAAGAGAAACTTAAAATTGTTATTAAATACTTTTTTGAATTCTATTACACAATTAAATTTACTTTTAAATTTAAAAATAACCATAATTTAGTTTTAAAATGAGTTGTTGTTTTCATATTGTTATGACATACACAATTTAAAATACCTATGGCTTCTTAGTATTATGGCAACAAAATCATTATGACGTAAAGGGCATCATTTTAATTCAAAAATAGTTTACAAAATGCATAAAAATAACATTTTAAAGTAACTACCTATGTTTTAACAAAATACCACTAAAGGACAATATTTTTGTTAATATCATGCATAATAGTTTTTATTATAAACTAAAACTTTAATTCTTAGTATTAATGTATTTTTTTAACAGGATAACAATACAGTAATAGGCACTTAATTTGTGCAATACAAACACAATTGGTAGTGAGTATTTTAATCTTACTGACCTTAAAAGCCAATTCAAATCTATTTCTAGATCAATTTTAAATATTAAATGACCAAATATTATTGAGTGCATTATAATAATTTAAGTTGAACTAAAGTACCTAAGGCCCTATAGTTTTGTAAGAAAATAATATTTCTATAAGTAATTAAAAAGAAACGTGATTCAATGATAAATGCTAATTTTTAAAATATAACCAATTTAAACATCCAACATTAATAAGGTAGGTACTAGGTACTATAAAAATGTGATTGAAAGAATACCAAATCAATATTTAGACTTTGGATTTCAAACTGATTTCACTTTAAAAACATCAGAATATCTCAAAACCAAAACTAATTACCTATGTGTTATACAACCTACTTTTACTAGTTAGGTACTCTCTATTTTTATTATAGCACACATGAACAAGAAACTCAATTACAGTATTAACAATTTTAGTTTTAATAAAAGTTAGGGGTACACTTATATACCTACACGACTACACAACACTTACTTATGTCTAATCAATAATTAGGTAATAATATATCTGTGTTAAATTTACAAGATGCCTATAAATTGATCAATGTAAATTATAATAATAACAGTTCAAAATGTATCAACTTTCTACTTCAATATCATAACTACAATAAGTGAGTGCAAAAAAAAACCATTCTAGTGAATGAACCTAGCGTCTACACATATTTCACAAAAACTATTTCAATATATTGGTAGACGTTTTGGAATAACAAACAACATATAGATATAATATATTTCTCATTAACTCGTATTTGCTGTCGACCACTGATAATCTCTCATATGACTGGCATACCTGGTATATTAATTTAATCTGTATTGATATAGGTTGGTGATTAGCTAGAACGCAGTATTTGATACATGAGAACTGAGAAAAACTGTTAAGGTCCTTTTGTAACATTCCTCGGTCAGATTGTTAAAAAAACAATTTCTCCTTAAATGACACCGGACATTACAGAGAAAACAATGAGCAATAATTGTCAGAAGAACGATACCCTCGTCAGCGGAACTGGAGATCGGATGCGGCCACTCATCGGTCACACATGACACGACAGTGACAATCGTAACAAATAAGTAAAAAAATCGCAGGGTATGTAATATACTTGCCGATAATATTATGGACTATGGTCTACGGTAAAATACAATGTTTGCTGAACGGACGTCGAGATGTCGAACGTAGAATGGCCCCTAGGAAAATTCAAAATTGAACGAAACAATAATGTTGTGCTCAATATTACGATATAATTGTTACGATGATAGAATTGCAGTTGATCGTGTACAAGCAGCTCTCACCACCGACTACCAAGAGACTGAGACAGCAAGACGTAGTCGACGGCCGCCACAACAGTTACAGGCCACCTCGGTACTTCTTACTCTCCCCCCTCTCCCACGCTAAGACTAATCGTGCCACAACGTACGGTCATCATCGTCATCGTAGTCCGACCGCCCCTCAAACCGTCGTCGACGGCCGTGCGTACCTCTATTTATGGCCAAACGCCATAGCGAGAACGTTTTGCGATCGTGACACGCGTAAAATAGCCCCGACTGACGCGGCTCGCGCGAACGGTGTGTCGATATCTGCCGCCCGTGCAAACATCGTGTACTCGTGGTCCATCTACCTCTACCTGCCTGAAATAACGATCGCAGGCAATGCCGCGGGTGACCGCAATACATTATTACGCTCGTCGTGTTATAGGTACCTAATAATTTATACAACGTCTATGCGCGACCCAGACGATTCGCGGGTTAGCGGAAAGTCGTGCGCACTTACCTGCAGTGCTCGATGAATGACCATGGAAGTAGACGTCGTTAAATCAACGGAAAAACTGCCAAAAACTGTACACATACCAGTACAAACGAATTTCCCGTTACCAGCCCGGGGTTTTAAATAACATCGCCAAACGTACGGAACTGAAACTTCGGAAGTGATGACTGCTGCTGCTCCGGCTGCGAGGCGGCGGCGGCGGCGTCGACCAGCCCGTTACCGCGACGAGTGGGAACGATGACGGTATTAACAGTGGGTTGGGCGGGACCGAGCGGGGTGTGCGTGTCGGTCGTTGGCGGCGCACCCCCACCTAACGATTTTACGGTCTCCGCAGCCGCCGTTGTGCCGCGCTTTGCTGCCGCCGTCATCGTTTGCTGACGTCACGACGACGACCCAATGACAAGGCGCTCGGTTTATCGGTGAATATATATCGTATTATCGTGCGAAAACGAATGACGCGAATCGAAATGGACGAAATGATTCGTTCTTTAAAGTTTTTCACCGACGAACAATGACGACAATTCAAAAAACATAATAATAATTGTTCGACCCATCAGAATTTCGTTTTCAGTTAATAAAAACGTGGGTATTTTACATTTACACTACTATAGCTGCAGCGTCTGCATAACATACAAAAACGTACGTCGTAATTGGGGGCAAATCAATCGTTTCGAACGAATAAATGATGCAAAGCAATAATGTCGTCGTCGTAATTATACTAGAATAATTATTCTAGAAAAAGTTGACTTATATGAATTTCAATGCATTAATAATAGCCAATAGGTATATTCGTTTTCTAATGCCGCCGACAGAGGTCGTAGCCATCGACTATGCGTGTTTTAAACGAATTGAAGTCGTCCTTGGTACACATTTAATAGGCAACTAGGCAAGGGTAGCCGACCCTGGCGAAATGGTCTTTAAACGATCCACCGGAAATAACTCTCCGTCCCACCGTCCCGTCCACTAATCAACAAATCAACTCACCTGAACGCCAACCGCGGGGTCGCCGAGCCGTGGCTCGCGATCTTTTATAGTCATTAGTCATTAGTCATTACTCACGAGTCATGACTGATGAGTATTAGTCAACCGAAACAACTTATACACTATACGTCTATACGACAGGTATATATCATATATGACGTTATATTTATTGGGTTTGTGGTTCGTGACCGAGTGTATACTATAAAACTGCCAACACACTATGATGTTGTTTATATGCATACTTGCACACTAAATTCAACAGCTGTCGAATCGTTTGTTATATTCGTATAGTGTACATCACTTATACCTATTTCCGTAAATAGTGTATGGGGTGACCTATATATATATATATATATATACCATAATGACTTATTAATAAGTTATTGTTATGTAATCGTCGATAATGGGACTTACGGCAGCGTATTTACGGAGGTAGTGTATGGGATGGATCTTCTTTTTCTTTATTTATTTTTAGTAATGCATTTATCCATGGATGATAATTGGGTATTTTTATAACGCAAAAAAAAAAACACGAGTTGCAGGTCATAGTGTTTGGCGATATTTTGAGTAAATAAACATTGGATATTTTAAATGTATAGGTACGTACACTAATATATCATATAAATAATAAATATAATAACACACTATGTAGTATTTTAACGAGATAAAAGTGTACCTACTGTTTAATCTATATTTCTATAATTATAGCTGTTGACAAAATATGTAGCTAAACAATCGCGAACGGGTAAAAACAGACTTAATTGGTTTGCCCGTTTGCCTTATCGAAACAAAAATATAAAAATTATTTTATTGCAGTATGCCCAGATAAAGTCACTGATACAAGTGGATTCTAAAAAAAAAATGGATGATTGAATTTTGCGTTTTTAAATGTATTAATTTAAATTAATAATTAAAGTTATAAATTATAATATAAGCGTGTTTATAGTTATGGAACACATATATGGAGACAGACATGATTGTTCACCGTATTATGGTGAATTTGGTAGGTAACCGACGAACTGGAAAATCTCTAATGATCACCTCTAGATGAATGTATCTAGATAACATGACTAGGTATATGTACTATACATGTAACTTATAATGTTATAAAGTTACTTAGTTACCATAGTTTTAAAGTATTTTTGTGTCAGTACGAGCTCTGGATAAATACATAATGTGTATTACATATCCTCCCTCGGAAAAAGATCCTAAATATTCCAATGGACGTAAACAATTTGGCCTCCAAAATGTCACCGTAATACGGAATGTTATTTACTGGTAATCTATACAAAATCCAATTTTTAATTTAACGTCTTCGATATTATAATCATAGTAATAAACTAATAAATCATATTATTACATTAGTTTACGAATAAATTATTCAAATTAATGTACTGCGTAGATAATAACGATTAAATAACGAATATAATAACTAATAAGTATTATAAAATGCAAATTATCTACAAAGTCTAAAAATTATCGAATAACTTTCGATTGAAGACCAAATTTAGATTTTAGGTACCTATGGAATAGTCGTATTGTAGTCATTGTAGACGTCTAGTGAATGATCAGTGATATATTATAATATGTACTGATATTCAAATAGTCATGCTTATATTATAACTTGTAAAACTATAATTTTGTTGAAGTTTCAAATTTTTCAATTGATACAATCGCTTATCGCATATCAAGTATCATCCCATAAACATTCTATACAGAATACGGGTTAGAAAAACTAAAAATATTTTGAAATGGATACCTATACGGCTATACCTACTACAGTTATTAAAGTTGAGGTATTTAGTAAAGCTATAAATAATTTTTATGAGCTATCTCGTCGAGTTTATGATGAAATTGTATTTTACGTTTCTATTTAACAATTTTAACAACCATTACACTAGTTCGAGTAGATGCGATTTTGTGTTATATAGTTGACAGGCAGAATTTAAATACCGGACTAAATAGATCAGCGCATATAATAATATTCTATACTCGAACTATAATCGATAAATAATAATAATTGCGCGGTCAGTACCGGATACCGTCGATACCGGTATCCGTACGCTCTGTTAACGCTTTTTTTTTTTTTTTATTCGGATATTTTTACCGTGAATTTTTGACCTAGAATCGTAATCGGTAGCCAAAAATAATTTCGTATAATAACGTTTTAACGGTCCCCCGCGCCCGAAACCCACCACCTCCCACTGATGTTCATGTTCGGATACCTACCACGATATACTCGGCACACGGGCTGCGCGGACTGCGAAATACTCACGTGTCAGTGTGTCGATCGTGTCGCACTGTCGCTTGTCCGACATTTTGCTGCCCTACAAGTGTCGTCGTATGACGTATAGGTTCGTTACTCTGTCGTACGCATAGATTCCGGGTGTACCTGGGACCGTTCCGCGACATAATGTCAATGGCCAAAACCAAAATGTATTCGAATGACAATGATTTGTATAAAAAAAATAATCATAAATGCCCAATCATTTACGCCCAACGCGGTTTCCCGCCCGACTCTGGATAGATTTTTCCGGTAACTGCATTTGCAATGGTTGTGACGTTTATGGCTGAAATTAATTGTCTTTATGAATTTTCGCTTTGCGAAAAACTTAAACGGGGTGTATTTCAACAATTGACGACTTTTGAGCTATAAACACTTGATTGTTGTATAAATCATGATATGACTTATGAGCTATACATATCCATATGATTTATACAATATAATATTACTCAGCTATTGTAGACAGTGATCAATGAGGGGGTGCAGTTGTATACTTGTATAGAATAAAATTATGGTACTATTGGCAATGTTCATAGATATTTTTTTATAGTCACTTTAACAATGCTAGCCGCTACTACATTAAACTCAATAAAACCTATGCATAAAGGAACTAATTCCATTATTCTGATTCCTTATTATTTTTATACTTATCTAAAAAGTAATGCAAATCATACTAGGTCTTAATTAATAACTGTCCAATTACATTGATACTTTTGATATTTTTATACTTAATATATTTAATAATTTATTTAGTAGGTAATCTAAAAACATATTTGTTGTGTTGTTACTAAGTATCCATGTGATCAATTAAAAATATTTTTACTTCAAATAGGTAATTAGTTTTAGGACAACATAAAATATTTTCATCATCTATATGGATTGCATAGGAATTTTTTTCGTTAACACTTTATTGTTTTCCAACCATAATATCTTGACCTTATAACTAGGTTCTTTAGTAAACATTGGAATTTTATATAAAAGATTTATATTAGATAAGTTAAATAGTTATTAATAAATACATCATTACTGACATTACTATTCCAATTGACATTTATATTGTTTACTGATAGACTTTTCTTCCTTTTTTTTTTATTAAATCCTTTGATAATGCTTTTTTTTTCAACTTCAATTTAACTACCATTTTTCAGCCTATTGTTCACTTTTGATTTTATATGATAAACATTTACAGAGGATAAATTAACATTTAATATTGATAAATTAGTTTCCACTATTTTTGCACAATTTTCATTATCTTGTTTGAGATTGAGACACCAATTATTACAATGCGTTTCCAATTTGTTACTATTCTATGTTATTTGTGTATTTATTCACTATAATTTCTCAATTTTCACTTCATTTTTGTGTTTTATTTTATTTACTATTTTCATCAAATCTCATGTTTAAATACTAGGATTATTAAATTTAATACTCACATATTAAACAACTGTAATAACACCTAATTCCTGAAGTAGCTTGTTTGAGTAAATAACACACTCTTTTTTAAAGGACATTATTAACAGATTTGATTTTCTATGATAAAACTTAATTTTTTTAATTACTATTTTTTTTTTGTTTAACAATTCTTCTAATTTTTTCAAAGTTCTTTTTCTTTTAACCAGCACATCTAAAATGCTATATCATTTTCAAATATTACATCATAAAAACTAAACATAACAGAATGTTTTATAAATTAAATTTATTATAGTTATATATTACTTATAACACTTCAATTAAAGATGAATATGTATTATGAAAACAATATAAAACCAAAAAATAGATAAACGAATTACACTCATTAACTAGTAGATAAAACGACCTTCCACAATATATATACACATCAAACTATGGCTCTTATAACTTTTAAAAACTAAAATTGTAATTTTAGCTCCATTTTCTTCTTAGAAGTTTCAGGTAATTTGATTTACCTATAACAACAAAAAAGTAATTAATATGTAAATATTAAAATAGTGTAGAAACTGCACAAATGAAACTTATTTTGTTATTTGATCAAGGTTATAATACAGTCAATACCAGATAGGGTAAATACTGACCACTAAGTTGTAGATCTTTTACTATCCTAAAACCTGTTAAAATAGGTTTGAGCAATTAAGTTTATTTCTTAATATACTAACAAAAAGTCCAGCTTACTAAGTTACACTCGGTGACAGACTGAATCTATTCAAGTCTGATAGTACCATAGGTGCAAATAGTAGGGGGATAGGGAGACTAAGCCCTCCTAAATTCTGTATAGTCCCCCCTCCCCAAATATTAATGACTATTGTCTGTCAGTCAATATGTTATATATTATAATTTTAAGATTTTTGGAATGGATTTTGATTTTAGCCCCCCCCCCTCCAAACTTCAAACACTATTTATGCCTATAGATAGTACATATGAAAAATCTATTCAACATTACTTACTTATTACTTAAAGAATCCAATGCTTAAATTGAATAATTTTTCAATATGTCCAGAAGCTGCAATGCTAATACTAATTGAACAACCTGCTTTATTTAATAACACTTATTTGAGCAAAAACCTTCAAAGGAACTAGCAACTGTGTCATAGGAGAAATGAAATTAATTCTGAAAATAATAATGTTAAAGTACATATCATGAAATAACAAATTTCACAGAGATAGTTTGATATAATAATTTTTTTTTAATATAATATTTAGCTTAGGTTGGATGTCTTATTTTTACAAGCATATTTCTAACAATTTTAGAGTAATTTATGGAAGTATTCAGAAGTATACTCAAATAAATATTATTAAAAAAGAGAAAAATACAAAAGTACGAATTCAAAATAACTGTAGTAAACAACTTTCTATCTACATTAAAAAAGATAATATTTTCGAGTTGTTAAAAACATATCAAAATTTACCAATAAAAACTGACTGTTATTGATAAAAATAATATCAAATTTGGTTTACATTCTTTACCCCTCAGTAAAATACAAATAAATATGTATAATTTATTCAATATTCTTCTCATATATTATTTAAAACATTGAATGAAATTAAATATGAACAAAATCGATGTATGAAGTTCATATTTAAGTTTAATATGTGTGGTATAAGAATACATAAACACTAAAACGCAAACTAACATCTTAATTCAAGTAAAAAATATCACGTAAGTGCTGAAGTGTAAATTAACATATCTAATGTATACAGTTACAAAATATGTGTATTATATAAGTTAAAAGATAGGCTAACTTACCAGTTAGTGAGATTTTTTTGCTAATCGACTTTTTTATTAAGAACTTTATCCATAATGAATTTTATCAAACAAAATCATCGAACAAGTTCAAACTTCATATTCATCAAACAAGTTAAAGTAGTTGAATATTGATAAGTTTATTATCAATTTTATCATTGCTTGTATTGATAAAACAGCATAATAACTTTAATAACAATAATAAATAACCTTGAGCATTATGGACTTAATGGGCTCATGATATTATATTGGTCTCAACTTGTCTAATACAGTAATATTTATTTAAATTTTAAAAACTTTTTACATCAAAATGACTTAGAACTCAACTTCATCAATAGTGACTTCATGTTGGGAATTACTGGTGATTAGACAATATCGAAACATTAAGTATGTAGATTACTTAAATACCAAAGTGGTGATGGTGAAAGTAAACTATAAAAGGTTAAAGTATCAATAAAATTGCCATTGATACCTAGCATGTGTATTATATTATGGTATAATCAATGGAAATATGTTGCAGATACATATTTTATGTTTTAACAAAAAGAATTTTGTAGTAGTTAGTTTTATCAAATTTTTTTCATTTTTAATGACGTATAATAATGGTATCTTTAGTAGGCGTATATAGACTACAGTAATTTAATATATCATACATTTATTTCAGAAATTGTGCTATTGTAAAAACAATTTTTGAGCTAGTCATAAATGCAATAAATTTAACTTATTTATTTTATTGAAAATATCAAAAAGCTGACAAGTATACTGGCATTAAATTAGTTAAGTCAGGATGTCTACAATATTAGTAGATTATGTTGGGTCAGTTCAGATCATTTCATTTAATCGTCCAAAAAAACTAAATGCCATGTCATTTCAGGTAATTATAAATATAACTTGAAATACATATCATATTTATTTTATCTTGTTCTTACATAACTTTTAAATATTAACTTTGTTGAAATATGCAGTGCTACAATGAAGTGACTAAAGCTCTTAAGGAAGGAGCTAAAAATGATTCTGTTTTCCTTACCATATTAACTGGTGTAGGAAAAGCCTATAGTAGTGGTACAGACTTATTTGATAATAATTCTTTAGAAGTTGAGGATCGTTTAATTGCAATACGGTAAATAAATATTTCACAAAGCAACTATCTTATACTATCTATACTTTTCTTTTTATATAATACTTATTAAAATATGAGATTATATATACAGAGAATTTGTAAGAGCGTTCATAGATTATCCAAAGTTATTAGTTGCATTAGTCAATGGTCCAGCAATTGGAATTGCATGTACTACGTTAGGACTTTGTGATCTTGTTTATGCAACTAAAACAGTAAGTAAATCATAAAATTAGTACTAGATTTTTATTAAATATTATTCAATTTTAGGCGACATTTTCGTGTCCCTTTCATAGATTGGGTATTACTGCTGAAGGATGTTCAAGTATTACATTTCCATTAATAATGGGCAAGACTAGGGTAAATAAATTTGTTTTAAAATATGACCATCTTATAAGTATGCAGTCCGCAAATAAATGTCTACTAAAATTACAAATATACATACATATTAAGTATCATATAACAACTATGGTTCATATTTATTATATTTCATCATTATTTGCCAAAATATTTTATCAATTAATTTAAAGATTTGTAGTACTATCCTCATTACTTAATATTTATAATAAAAAATCTTTCAAACTTATTGCCACACAGTAAGAGAAGTATTGTGCATAAACACAATATGAATATTTTACAAAGTTATCTGCAATAGTCAAGATAATTAAGCCATTACAATCAGAAAAGTCCTTAAAATTCCCTGTAAGAAATTAAATCATAACCAACTATATACTTAGGTATTCAGTTACTCTAAAGAATATTACTTATGATGGTATTTACTCTTTAGGCAACTGAATTTTTATATTCTGGTAAAACATTGAATGCTATTGATGCCCAGAAGATTGGCTTAGTCAATGAAATTATCAATGATGGAGTTAATGGAAAAAATCAATTAATCAAAAAAATTATGACTGAAATAGCTTTGTATAAACTGGTAAAATATTATACCTATATTTTAACTATCATAAGGAATAATTTTAATTTTTTTAATTTCAACAAATTTTATAGCCTATGGTGTATACAAAATCAATGATGCTAAATGGTGTGATCACTAGAGATGAACTGCACAAAGCTAATGATAGAGAAATTGAAAGATTGATAGAAAGATTGAATTCGGATGACTTTCATAATTCTATTGCTAACTATTTTGAACAAAAAATGTTAAAACATAAGTTATAAAGTTACCTAAGACATGTTTATAAATTATTTTTCATTGTTAACAATGATTTATGTTTTAAACAGTTTCTATTATTTACTTTTACATCACATTTTTATCTAGTTACTCTGCTAAGCAATAATAATAAGTAATAGGTATATATAGTTTTTATTTTTTCTCATTTATAAATACTCCAAACACTACAGAATTCTGATATTTCAATTAAACTTGTTAAAAATATTAAAGATATAATTGGTGATAAACAATAGTATGGAGCATTTTTAATGATTATGACAGTTGTAGTTACTTGTTAGTAGTTAGTGCTATTATAAATATTCTAAAATAATAGTTTATTTAATAATATTGGATTATTGGTTATTAGTTCTATACTTTAGTATATATTATTAAGGGTGAGTGGTGGTTACACATACTAAATACTAATTATATTTAAGTTGCTTATTACTAAGTTAATGTTACTGACATTTTCAGACAACAAAACTCTGAAAAATGAAAATACCATAAAAAGATGTTTATATTATAACATTACATTTTAATTTATTTTGAATTGAAAACATTGTATAACAAATAATCTGAACAATTACAATATATTTTATTAGATATTCATAATATTAATTTTTATTATGTACCTACCTTCTACTTTGTGCATTTATATTTACTCACTTCTTTGTATAGAAGTTAATTCATTATTCTTTTACAACACTAGTTAACTTATCCAATAATGAAAAAGGATATTTAGTCACTAATTTTACTAACAAATTCCTGTTTTTCTCCCGCCAAGAAAAGATATTGAAGTTGAAAATCAAATTGTACTGCCCCAAAAAAAGATGGTAAGCGTAAAAAAAAAAAAATCCAATACATTAAGTATCTGGCTCAAAATACAATATTTTTAACCACCCATAATAGTTCTAAGTGAGAAATTTTTTTTTTTATTCCAAAGACCTCAATTAGTATGTTGTAGGTACTTATAACAACTCTAAACTCAATTTATTTTATTCAAAACAGTCTTATTAGAGCACAACACACATGCCTATCATAAACCAATTATATAAAAGAGAACATTTAACTTATAGGTCTTACCATATACTTTAAATTAAGTAATCATTGAAATTATTTGGTCTAACTTATCTGAATAATGACTGATGATTGAAACTAGGATTTTAGTGACCTAAATTATACACAAAAATGCACTAAAAAAAAACTGCAAGTCATCAAAATCCTAGCTCTACTGATGATTATTAAGCACAATTTTAACATTGTAATATGTAAATTATCTGTAATCCAAATATTTTGTATTAGAATAATTAAATTAAAATAATTTCCATTAATTAAAATGAAATGATTATTTATTGATCGAAAAACAAATTAAATTAGTAAAAATAATACAACATTCTGACAATCTGGCTTAAAGGTGGTGCTATGATAGGTTTGAAAATACAGTGTTGAAGATTTTTATACCCATTTTTCCTCATCTATACCAAACTACAGTTTTATTTATTTCATATTTGTACTTTTCCAAATTTTTAGAGATAGCATTTGTTACCAAACTAAATAATTCTAAAAGTATGTTTATTCAACCCAATGTATTATGTTTTAAGACAGTATTAGCTGTAATATCAATTTATTTTACTAGTACAAATACAATTCTTGAAATCTCTTATAATATTTATAAACTTGTAATTGTAAATTAAAATTTGTATCTAAATAACAATTTTTAGTTTCAAAAAAATTGTAAAATGATTAAAATGTAAATCGTAATACTTAAACTTAATACTTATTACTTATAATAGCCTATAGGACATAGGTATTCCCATTTCCTATTATCTTAACTTAACTATCTATGGAAATATGGAATAACCCATAGACCTAATCACAGTCTTATCTTGAAAGTTGGGGTAACACGTTAAGAACCACTGGAAACGTGGTTTGGCTTAGATTATTTTTCCGTCGCTAACTTCCTGCCATGGAAAATATCACGCGTCGCCGTCTGCCCAGTGCTCTGATGCCGAATACCATTCTCCTTAAGTCCCCACCGATTCAGAGTGCACCACAACTATATTTGTCGTCAATCGTATTCTTATTTCTTACAAATCACAATAACGTGACATTATCAGATTCTGTAACATTTTTGTCATCTAAGTGTTTCTTTTGATTTAATCCGTTTTTGGTAATCAAACATAACGTGTACTATGGCGTCTAGACGAATCGATCTGAAAAGTAAAGAATCATATTCTGCTGTTAAATACGTGCAGGTTGAAGGACTGGTGAGTAGTAATGCATGCCCAATGTTCATAGATTTTAATTATTAAAATATCATTATTAATACGCTCAAATGGTGACCGTTGTCGGGCCCAAAAAATTTTGAACGCAGGCATTAATGAAAATTGCAAAACATTGCCATGAAGAGTGTGCCAGTGACGTGATCATCGCACAAGGAGCGCTTTTGGGTCTGGTTGTTGAAGATCGTCTCGAGATCACTAACTGTTTTGCCTTTCCGAAGAGTGTTGATGAGTCTATCAACGATGGTTAGTTGCCTGTTATAATGTTCATGATATGGATAATAATTAGTAAAAGTAGTCGCTTTATAGACTACTTATCATTTAGTCACACTATATATACTCATAACTATGTTATAAAATGTTTTATGTTTTCAAAATGTTATCCACATTCTATTTGTTCTACTGGTTTGAACATATTGCATGATCATTTTAATTGCATTTAAATTTTAAATAATGTAATTCAAAAATCAATTTATCTTTTAACTAAAAAATTTACTTAATTATAGTTGAAATAATAATTCATTTTTAAAAACTAACAAGTACGATACAATTAAATATATTTTATTAAATTGTGAGACGTCTATTAACTTTATTTATTTCGTTACTACAATGTCCATTTTTATTTGTTCAAATATTCGCCCCATTATTCAACATATAGAAGTGATAAATATATATAAATATAGAACTTATAATTTAAAAATGTTTGATAAATTAATTATGATGGGTATATATTTTTTTAAATTTTGCAGTCATTGTATTCTATTAAGTTCTTTTATTAAAATTATAATTTCTCTGAGTATATCGAAATCCCAAATAAAATGTCCTAAATTCAAAAATAACTTTATTTTTGTTAATTTTATAGAAAAATATCAATTGGATATGATGAAAAGTCTTCGTCAAGTTAATGTTGATCACTATCACGTTGGATGGTATCAAAGTTCTGATGTTGGGAATTTTTTGAGTTTACCTTTGTTGGAATCACAATTTCATTATCAAACTAGCATAGAAGAATCTGTTGTATTAATTTTTGGTAAGTATTACTGATTTGTTCATGTACTAAGCACCAGTATATCATATTATTTTATGAGTTCAAAATGTTGAATTATAATCGTATTAAGTGTTTGAACCTTTAAGTAGAACTTGATTTTTTTTTACTTCAGCATTTTTTTTCGTATAATATGTAATTGTAAAAATTACGTTTTAATTTATATTCAATTTTTATTAATCTTTTTATTATTTAAAAAATCTTATAATATGATATTTTTTTATGATAATTTAACTTTTTATAAGAGTTGAGTGTAAAATACTAAAATATAACAATAATTCATGACTTGTTTAAAAATTTAAATATCGCAAAAAAAAAAAACGATCCGAGACAACAAAACTAATTCTTAAGTCAGATAATAAATTACAATCCATTTAGAAGTTAAAACTAACATCAAAAAATTAGTTATATTGAACTTAAATTTATTATATATTATTTTCTTTATGTTTGTATTTCAATTTAATATAAAAGGATTATTAATAATTAATAAATTATTATTGTTTTAGATGCTCCCAAAACTAATCGTGGATTTTTATCCTTAAGTGCTTATCGTCTTACACCTCAGGCTTTATCTATGTTTAAAGAAAATGATTTTCTACCAGATACATTAAAATCATTAAAAGTTGGTTATGACAATTTATTAGTAAAAGTTCCAGTCGTAATAAAGAATTCCACATTGACTAACATACTTCTCTCAGAATTAAATTATAAAATTAAGGTTGAAGAAGGCTCTGAACATTTGGATATTGGCACTGCGTAAGTAATACAATATGATTTAATACTTTAATTATATGTATGAACGTATATAAATAACGTATGTTTATGATTATTGTAGTACTGTTTTGGAAGGGCAATTGCGTCATTTAATGGACCGAGTAGATGATCTAAATCAAGAAGCTATTAAATTCAATCGCTATCAGCAAGCAGTTGTGCGTCAATCTACAGAAAAACACCGTTACTTGCAGAAACGAGTAATATTTTTAACATTTAAGTAAGAACAGTTTAAATTGCAATCTAAACTATTTTTATTTTAAACAGGCTTTAGAAAATCAAGCACGAGCTGCGAAAGATGAGCCACCATTACCTGAAGAAGACATTACTAAGATATTTAGAGCATTACCAGTACCACCTAGGTTACCGCCAATGTTAATGGCTACTCAAGTTGATGCATATGCTGAAGAAATAGCTAAATTTTCTACTCAGTCTTTGGCTAAATTGTATATGACCAAAGCTATGAACACAAATAACTGATTGAAAATTAAAACTTATGTATAATATTCTGAATTAGAATAAATACATTATTTTATATTTATACAAATAATAAAAAAAAAATCATACTCTCTGTTATGAGAGTACATGAAATGTATAAGTATGCAATTGATTATATTTATTACATTTTTAATATTTTCCTTTGTCATTATTTTTATGCATTTGAAATGTAATATATAAACACTGAAAATGATTATTTAGGTTGATTTTATTTAATCATTATTTCTTAATGAATATAGATACTAAATAATTTTTGTTGGTCTTAGGTTGAATGTTAGACATAGATATTTCTAATGAGTAATGATTTTTTTTCTTTTTGTAGTGATTCATTACAAGGTTTATTTTAATTGTAAAAACTAAATTTATAAATTAAACATTATGTAAAATTTTTGTGTGTATATTTCTTCTAAAATTTTAGTGTTTTAAATAATGTTTTGCATAGCAGATGTTAATATAGATATTTACCTTGAAAAAGAAGACTGCAAGACCATTACTAAGAATTAGGTCCCATGTCTATGATATGTATTCAAGAATTTGTTAATTAACTTTAAGGAAAAAATTATTTACATGTACCTTTAAAAAAAATAATAATATTGTTTCTATTTCAACACATATTTACATACATTACTTGCTTATAAATTATTGTATATGTACAAATCAAGTAAATTTTCTTATTTTCTATATATTTAATGGTCAAATACTCAGATTATTTTAGTTTATAAAAGTAGAAACACTTATAAAACATCAACCAGTGTGCCTTGTTCTAAAACTGTATGATTAAAAATCTATAGCACATGAAACATGAAAAATGCATGTTTTATAGTATATTTAAACAAAGTTGATGTAAAAGGCTTATGCCATGTCATATACACTTCCAATTCAATTCTTAAGATCTTTGAATTTGTCTATGAAAAATAAAATGATTTAAT